TTTGTTTTTTATCCGCCATCTCTATCTTTCTGTCGCTCGGCTCGGATAATGTCCGTCCTGTGCACTGAACCCTCTCTCCTCCACATCATTAGTAGACACGCCCCTTACTGCTGATTGGCTACAAGTTTGTTTTGCTAGTCGGCCCGAATCAGTTTTCTAAAGCTTTTTTGAAAAATCACTTACCCCACCTTTAATTGGCAATAATTTAAATGGAAAAAGTAAAATAAAAAGTGAAAAAAAAATAAAAATATTTGTTTTGCTAAGGGGAAAATTACAAAATTATTTGTATTTATTTATTTACTTTTATTTACTTTTATTTTTTTTATAATTCAAACTGCCATAATTTACAGTTTGCTACTGCAGCACAGTGTTGTTGGGAAAAACACTTCTTGAACAACATAGTATTTTTAAAGTAAGATTTGTCAATTTTTTAAAATGTATTTTAATAACAAATTTTAATTTGCTTTTAAACACAAAATTAGCAAAACAAAAGAAAATTGTAGTTTTTTTTTTAAGAGAAAATGTCAACATCTGTATTTTATTTATTATAACTGTTATTCACCGTTTCTTTCCTATTCATGGAAATGACAAACTGACAAAAAATACAAATCTTTCAAATTGACATTTTACTGCCTTCAGTTTGTTACTACAGCATGTTTTTTTTTTTTTTTTTTTTATTAACGACAAACCGTTTTTAAACCCAAACGTGACAAATAAATAAATAAATATGAAAGCATCTAAACAATTGGTTCTCATCGTGTCTTTTAGTTGAAGTCTGGTGGAAGTGGTCGACGGCGTGGTGGCCAACGGCACACAGGGAAATCAGCACAGAGCAGCACTGGAACTGCTTCAGCAGCTGGAGTGGGCGGCAACTGAGCTTCCTCCATCTCCATCTCAGTCACTACTGGTCAGCTGCCTTTAATGTTTTAAGTGAACACCAGAGGGCAGTAAAGCCTTTTTTTCTTTCTTTTTTTCTTCTCTCACTAAACCGGACTGAGCTATTTCTCCCTAATTAGAAATGTTCATCTCAGCTGACACAATCGTGCCAAAACCCTGACTGACAAGCAGCTGTTGTGTTCCTCGTCCACCCGCTCTTTTTTCTTCTTCTCACCCTTATCAAACCCTTTTTACTTAATCTGTTGGAGTCTCAACATCCTGTAATAAACACCCTGAAATCCTGGATTTTGTAGCCGGAATGTTTCCCCGAGGACCCAATTAAGGAGCCTACGACTGAATCCCTGTTTGTGTTCAGCGATTTTGCTATTTTTCATGTCATTTTCCTCCTTCAATTGAATTTGGCAAATGCTAACGCAGATGAACGGGAGAAATCTGTTCTGCTTGTCAATCTCTCATGACCCCTCATCCTCTTCTGATTTTAATGAGCGTTGTAGCTCTCGAGATGCACAAAATCACGGCAGATAAAACCGGTCCCTCTAGGAGTGTCACAAATTAGGGGGCTTTCTTCGCTCCCGTGTTGCTTTTTCATTTCGTGACCCAGCATTACTTTCAAAAGGTCTCACCTTTTCAACAGAGAAATGTTTTTTTTTTTTTTTTGCGTAGAACGGGAAGCTAACTGAGATGACATATGGCATACAGTTCGGATTTCTTTTGTCGCTTTCTCATTAAACCGTATTTTCTGTCTATTCTTACTTATTCTAAACTCTTTTTAATTAAATTTTCCTGTGCAAGACACTTTTGACCCAATCAAAGCGAGAGTAGACCTTGAATAAATTCAAATAAAATGACTAATTCACCCAAAAATGACAACTCTGCCATCATTTATCCACCGTTCCAAACCAGTATGACAATTATTTTTTTTTTGTGGAAGAGTTGCTTTTTTCTGTGAAATTACAATAAATAGAGATTTTTATTATTATTTTGCCTCACAAAAGTGGTCTATAAATATGGAAGCCCGTTTCCACCACAGGATAAAACAAGGTAATTGTGACTTCTATCTCACAATTCGGCCTTTTTTGCTATTCTGAATTTATATTAGAATTGTGAGGAAAAAAACCTGAATTGTGAGATATAAACTGAGAAAAAAAGTCTGAATTGCGATACATAAACTGAGTTTAGATTTTGCAAATTTTGAAAATGTTTTCTCCCAAACCGGAGTTATCACGCAATTCTAACTTTTTTCAGAATTACATGTCGCAATTTACATATTGCAGTTCTGTTTTTTTTTTGTTTGTTTCCACCATGCAATAAAACATACTGTAAAAAAGATAATTATGACTTTTTATCTCACAAGTCTGCCTTTTTTCT